GATTCAGTGCCATCCTTTAAAATTAATTCTTCTGGGGGGAGGGGCAGGTGTCCACGTAGTAGTTGGGATTGGGGCCGTTCCCACAAACCTCTCCACTAGTTCTCTACGCCATGCTGGCATGTTGCATTCACTTCTTGGAGCACTGGGTTGAAGTCTGGTCCCTCTTTTTCATGGTATTTTTATTCAAAAGCTTCAAATCTAGATTTTGCATTAAAGATACTGACCTAATAAAAGCACTAAAAATATCTCTGTTATCATAGGAGAACAAAGTCCCAATGTGTCATTGATGCAGAGAATGTCTGATATGTTGTCTCGATGGTTTGAGGAAGCAAGTGAAGTTGCACAGAGCAATAGAGGGCGAGGAAGATCTCGATCCAGAGGTAACTTTCTTTGTGAACCTAAAGTTTCAGAAAACTAACCCAAACTGTTTGTTGATACCAGTTTTATTTGTACCATGTCATTTGTGTCCTGTCTTACAGCTACAGTAGCCACAAAGTTTTCATTCTATGAAGCAGTAAAAGACAAATACATTGGTTAGAATTTGTCCCTTCTGATCACATTGGCCTCATCTTTATCTTTTGCTCTTTATTTTAAAAAACGTGAAAAGTTTGAGATTACTGGTTTAGTTCTTTTGTATGTGCTCTGAGAGTGGACATATACAAAACTCTGTAAATACGTAAGTTTTATACCTGTATTCTCCAATAATTACCTTTTGATTACTTACATGTATTAGTTACTGGTTCTGGAGTTAGGCTGACCTCATTTCAAATCTTTCATATTTCCAGGTTTGGGATCTTTAGTAAGTTTCTCATCTCTGTTAAAAAAGGGGGGGAAATTACTAAAGTTAACCCGTAATGCTATTTGGGGTAGTTAATATATGGCTGATAATGTTAGCATTCAGCCGCATGACAGTATTTTAAATCCTCAAATAAAGAGATTTGATTAAATTTCATCCATCAGTTATTCTTGGTAACTCCTATGTATCCTTTTTTTTTTTTTAATTGTAGGGTAACAGATTAAGTTTAAATCAGGAAATCAATAGATCATTAAAAGAAAAAAATTATTAAAATAATTCATTTTAAAAATACTTTTCATTCCCTATAGTAATTGCAACTAATAACACATTAACTGTATTATTTATTAGTCAATCCCATTTTTCTTTTTATTCACTATAGATATGAAACAAAACCAGGCAAATTTTTCATATTTCATTTTCTTAAATCAATCCTCTGCAGCTAGCACAGAGCCTGGCACGGAACATAGATCCTCAAACCTTTTAAACCTTGAATAGATCATTTAATGTTAGTTCTTACAGCATTACTGCTAATGAAATGGAAATCAGGAACTTAATTCTTTTCTGGCCTATATGTAGTTTTGTTCTTGCCCCTACCTCCAATCAAACATTTGATGTGGATGTTATCAAAGGTAGTTTGTTACCAGTTATGGAGATAAATCCATGTAAATTCATTATGATATTATCCAGCTACTGGATTCGAATTGTCCCCTTCATATTTTAGAGACTAGACTATAACTCAAAAACTGCTGTAATCCTGCTTAAGTGAAGCTATTATATTGAAAAGTTTGCTAGGAAGATTGATTGTTTTAACAAGAGCATGCCACTGATAGATTTTTCTCACCTCTATTGATTAACCTGCTTGGTCAAATGGATGAAGTAGCCAGTGGGTGTTTGCCAGCCTCAGTTTAAATTGCTTTGGGTATATGGGGATGTGTGCATACACACCAGGCTGAATGTCTTTCCTTAAAGTAGTTGATTTGGGGAAGTATGTTGTGAAATTTGAATTTGTGTTTATGTGCTTTTTGAAGGTGGATCGAGTCCATCAGATGTTCCCACTCTTCCTACTATCCCATCCAGTACTGATTTGGAAGTAGGCGAAGCTGCAATGGAAGTAGATACTCCAGCTGAACAGTTTCTTCAACCATCTACATCCTCGGCAATGTCTGCTCAGTCTCCTCCTGCATCGTCTTCTGCAGAAAGCCTTCATTCTACTACTTTGCTGTCTTCTCCAGACAGTGAGCAAAGGCAGTCAGTTGAGGCTTCTGGACACCATGCACATCATCAGTCTGGTGAGGGTGTGATTTTTTAAATAAGCCATGGTTCATGAGATGATTTGTCAATGAAAACTTTACAGACTGTTTTGAAAGATAGCTAGGTCATATCAAGGTCTTATGGGAATAAATTATCAAAATTACATGTAATATGTGAACGTGTATGTTTAACACAAAGTTCAAGTGTGCCTAACTTGCATGGATTTTGACATATAATAGGAAACTTCAACTTACACAGAACAGTTCTTTAAAAACTACCAGATTCTGGCAAGTAGTGTTTTGACACAGTTCAATATCTTGACTTACAGGTGTGTAAACCATTCTAAACCAAAATAGACATTTGACTTATTTGGCTTTATATCTGCATTAAAGTGACAAGGAGAATTTAGCACATTATTATTAGTTTTATTGTATTCTTGATTATTTTTCTCAAGTAATGAAGTATTTTCACTACTTTTTTTAGAGTGGATTTTATATGATCTCTTGCCAACAACATACAGTTAATTTGCTTATGTAATTATCTTAAAGCTATATTAAAGAGCCCTGGTGGCATATTGGGTTATACATTGATCTGCTAACCTCAAGGTCAGTGGTTCAGACCCACCAGTTGCTCCACTGGAGAAAGATGAGGCTGTTTGCTGCCATAAAGATTTAAAGTCTCAGAAACCCAGAGGCAGTACTACTCTGTGCTGGAAGGTCACTGAGTTTAAATTAACAATGTGAAAGTGGGTTTATATTTACATTAAAATTTTTGTTTTGCCAAGTATTTATTTTCTTGGTGCTTTATGATAGTGAAAAAATATACTTATGGATTCTGTTACAATGCATTTATTTTCCTCTCAATATTATAATTCTTTATTTTCAAACTTTCCTGCCATGGAATATACTAGTATTCATAATAGTATGATTTTAGCAGATATGTTTATACTTTACTTGGTATTTTAGTTAATATGTGTAATCATAATAACTAGCAAGATGCTTATTTAGATTTTCTTTGGAGTTTTCTAAGGAAGCATTTTATCTGACATTTAACCCAAATTTTCAGTAGCTAATGACACAGCTGCTGGGCCTAAGCTTAAGACCCGCAAATACTCCTAACAGCTTAGCTGCCAAGCTGTCATTGATTGTTGCTTCTGTGGAAACTGAAGCCAGAACACCAAATATGGAGTGTTTAAAATCAAGCACTCTTAAAGGTGTATCTCATTTTGGGTCATTAATATTCAGTTTCTATGGGAATAGAAACCAGAGTCATTTGCATAATTGTGAGCATTTGTGTACATTTTATCCATGATACTAAGCTACAGCTGAGATACAAAATTAGATTTCATACACCTCAATCAATATAGTTAGAATTTCAGCTTCAGGGAACAAAATATTTTGAGAGGTTTTAGAAGTAGGAACAGATTTAGTTAAGACTTTGAATTTCAAAACTGCTAAATTGTTAAAGCAGAAGGAGTTTTTAAAGTGGTAACATTCTCTGTAGGAAATTATAAGTTATCTGGAAAACTAGAGGATTCTCTAGCTGATGCTCAAATTCTCTTGATGCTTAACTATTTCCAATTGTTTCTTAGATACATTTCTGAATAAAATGTTTACTTGGTTTAGAATTTTTGTGTGTGTGATAAATATTTAACACTAAAATTGTTTTAAAATGTTAAATTTGTGTTTCATAAACTCACTCACTGCTGTTGCGTCGGTTCCAACGCGTAGTGACCCTGTAGGACAGAGTCCCACTGCCCTGTGGGTCTCTGAGACTGTAACTCTTTACGGGAACAATAACGTTTTGTCTTTCACCCTTTTAATAGTTAATATAATTATGAATAGACAGTGAATGAAGTAGGTTATATCTAGTATGTAGCGTGTTGTTTATGGGGAAGTTATTGGGGGAGTTTTGATTGGTCAAATTATATTGAACTATTTCCACAATACATAGACCGTATCGCTATTGAGAAAAAGTTGGTATACATAAAGGGTATATCTGTAACTGTTTGGATAAAATTTAGGCCTTCCATTAGCCCAGAGTCTGGCATTTTAACAGTAGGGACTGAAATTATTTTCCCCTTCATCTTGTCTATATTTACCTGAGCCAAAGTCCAGCTGGGTGTGTGGAAAGTGGAATTCCATCAGATAAAGGTAGTCACTGGGAGTAACTGAGAGTCATGATTTGTATCCCCACCTTTCATCGAGAAAATAAAAGAGAGTATTTCTGTTTTTACTTGCCTTGCTGTGGACAACTCTTCATGTAAATACTTGGTCATTATTCCTTCGTATTACTTGCATTTCCCCTATGGCTTTTACTGGCATGAAAAAAAGAGGTACCGTGAATGTGAAAACTTGTTTGACGAAAAGCGCTGACTGCTTGACACTCATTCATTATCTATCTGCTCATAGTCTACATCTGAGTCACTTAGTGATCGTGAAGAGAATCAGGCCCACAAGTGTCCGTGGGCACTTAGCACTGTGTGCCAGAGCAGTCTCACAACATCTTTCTCTCCACCTGTATAAATGACCTATTTCACATCTTCATGCCTTTTCCCCAGACTTTTAACACTCCTCTTTATCCTCATCCTGCTCCCAACTGATAATCTTCGATCATTCTTCACAGTGAAAAGGAAGAGTTCAAAGGGAAAGTACTCATTTTCCTACTTTTGAGTCTCCCAGCTTTCCAGCATGTGTACAGTCTGTGATAAAACCAGACAGCAGTGAGTCAGCTCCTATCAAAGGCTAGTAGTCTGCAGTTCCCATTCCAGATTCTCAAAGACCCCTTCTTTTCTTGTATCTTTACTATGGCTTTTTCTACTGAATTGTTCCTTTTGGTCTTCCTGAAGCATGTTCTTATTATTGCTAATTGTGTTAGGCCGGGTTGACTAGAGAAACAAATCCAGAGACACTCATCTATGTGTGTATCAAAGAGATTGTATCAAAGAGACATTGTATTTTAAGAAAACATCCCAGCCCAGTTCAGATCAAGTCCCTAAGTCTGATATTAGCCCATATGTCTGATACCAGTCCATAGATTCCTCTTCAGCCTCATGCAACACATGCAAAGAAAGATCACAGGCCAGTGGGTGGAAAGTCTTGTGGATCTAGTGGCAGTGTAAGCATTTCAGTGCTGGAGTGTGTCTCCACGTGACTCCTCCAGCTCCAGGGCTTTGCTTCCATCGTGTGTGTCCATGTGGCTTGTGAGCCATCAGCCTGCAACCTGATTGACAGGCTGGACTCTACCCATTCATTCAAGTTGACAGGCGATTATGTAACTACCACACAAATATTGTTTTCTAAGTCTCTTTTAACTGTTACACAGTTCTAATTATTGCCTTCAATCTCTGCTCCTTTTTAAATAGAATTCTAAAAGAATTACTTAACACTATTCATTTACATAACATCTCCCGCTTTTTTCCCTGAAGGTTACCAGTCTTTGATCCCTTTTTTCATCAACACGTATTTTCAAAGTTCCCAGTGACCTCTATCTTACCGTATCCAAATGCTGCTTCTCTATTAGTATCTTATAAGATCTTTTGTCCTTATCACGTTTAATGTAGTTTACCTTTCCTTTCTTGGGCTGCTCACCCCAAGCTTGCTTGTTTAAACCCAGAAGCCATTTTGCACAAGAAAATGAGTCTGCCTGCTCCAGTAACGATTTATAACATGGGAAACTCTGTCTAGGATTCTGATGACTTAGAGTCTGCTAGAAAGCAGGGTTTGATTTTTGGTTTGGAGTGAGTGAAGTAGTGATTCATTTAAAGTTTTGATTTGTATTCACTGATGACTATGGTGTCGATCATCTTTTTTTGTGTGTTTATTGGTCACGTGTTTATCTTTGGGAAAATGTCTGTTCAAGTCTTTCACCCATTTTAAAAGTAAGGTGCCTTCATTGTCCAGTTGTAGTTTTTATATATGCTGTGTATTAAACTTGTAAGATACATGATTTCTAAATATTTTCTCCCACTTCCATGTTCTTTTCACTATCTTAATAATACCTTTGATGCACAAATGTATTTAATTTTGATTTTTTGTTGATATTTATTGACTTTATTTTATTTTAAACCAGTTTATTGACACATAGTTCATGTACAGTGTGATTCTATAGTTTAAATACATTTTTAAAGTTGTGCAATTAACACCACAATCAATTTTAGATCATTTTCTTCATTTGTTTATCCATAATATCTAAGAATTGATTGCAAAATGCGTGGTAAAGGAACTTTGCTTCTATATTTTATTCTAACTGTCTGTATAACTTTAGTGCTCTTATGAGGTTGTCATCTCTTTGGAATTAATTTTTTTGGTATATTGTCTGAATTAGGAGTCCAGTTTATTGTTAAAGAGAGTGCTTGTTTCTCATTACATGAACTTGTGGAAAATTAGTTTAACCATTGATACATGGGTTTAATTTATGGATTCTCATTTACCGTATATACTTGAATACAAGCCGACCTGAATATCAGCTGAGGCACCTGATTTTACCACAAAACTGCATTTAAAATGTTCTGAAAAACTCAGCTTATACACGAGTATATACGGTATATTCCTTGGATCTATACCTCAGTTCTTCTGCCGGTGTTTTGGTTTTTAATAGTTTTATAAATTTTAAAATTGGGAAGTGTGAATACTCCTACTTTGTTCCTTTTCAAGGTTGTTTTTGCTTCTCAGGGCCTCTTGCAGTACCTTATGAATTTTAAGATCCATTTTTGAAAATATATTGAAATTTTGATAAAGAGATTGCCTTGATGTTGTATTAAGTCTTCTAATCATTCCATTTACATAGGTTTCCTTCAATTTCTTTCATCATTCCTTTCTATTCTTCAGTGTATAAGTCTTTCACCTCTTTGAATACATTTATTTTTTATATTTTATTCTTTCACATGCTGTTGTATATTAAATTTTTTGCTTAATGTCTTTTGTAAATTATTGTTGATAGCTAGAAACAACCAAATTTTATGTGTTGATTTTGCCCTCTGTAGCTTTTCTGAATTCATTTATTCATTCATGTCGCTACTGTAGAATCTTTGGGTTTT